ATGTGTGTTGATTATACCGATCTCAATCGGGCATGTCCTAAGGACGCCTATCCTCTCCCCAACATTGATAAACTCGTCGACAACTCCGCGGGCCTCAAGCTCTTGTCCTTTTTGGACGCATACTCGGGGTACAACCAGATCCCGATGGCCGAGCACGACAAATAGAGCACGGCCTTCATGACGGTGTCGGGCAACTATTACTACAACGTAATGCCCTTCGGCCTAAAGAACGCTGGCGCCATGTACCAACGGATGATGAACAACGTCTTCCGGGGGGAAATCGGCGACATGCTCGAAGTATACATGGACGACATGATCGTCAAGTCCTACACGGAAGTCGACCACACAACCCATCTCAGAAAGGTCTTCGACACAGCGAGGAAATGCCGAATGCGCTTCAACCCGGAGAAATGCACCTTCGGTGTCCGCGCAGGGAAATTCCTCGGCTACTAACTGGCGGAGCGCGGGATCGAGGCAAATCCGGACAAGTGCCACGCCTTTTCGGAAATCACCACACCCACCACGAAAGAATCCATACAATCCCTCAACGACGTGCTCGCCTCACTTTCCCGGTTGATCGCCAAGTCTGCACAGCACGCCCTCCCTTTCTTCAAACTACTCAGGAAGGAGACCACGTTCGAATGGACAGAGGAATGCGAGCAAGCCCTCCGCCACCTCAAATGCGTCCTGTCCGAACCACCGGTGCTGACACGACCCGTGGTGGGTGAAACCCTATACTTATACCTGGCCGTAGCTAACGAGGCCGTCAGCGCCGTTCTCATCAGAGAAACCGAAGAGGGGCAAAAGCCAATCTACTTCACGAGCAAAGCCCTCCACGGTCCCGAAGTCCGATACCAGCTAATCGAAAAAGTCGCCCTAGCCCTCATCGCTGCACGACGGCTCCGACATTATTTCTTGGCACACACCATCGTGCTCCGCACCGACCAGCCCATCCGACAGCTCCTAGGCCGACCTGACATGGCTGGACGCATGTTGAAATGGTCATTAGAACTATCTGAGTTCGACATCGTCTACGAAGGCAGGAAAGCCCTTAAAGCCCAAGCCCTGACCGATTTTATCGCCGAGATGACCTCCTCGCCAGACCCTACCACGGGGAGCCACAAATGGACTATTTTCGTGGACGGCTCCTCCAACTCCACGGGCAGCGGAGCAGGCATCATCCTCGACAACAAATAGGGCACCATCATAGAAGTTTCCCTCACGCTGGCCTTCCCGACGATAAACAACCAAGTCGAGTACGAAGCGTTCCTGGCCGGACTTCGCCTGGCATCATACCTCGGGGCCAAAGAAGTTAAAATCTACACAGATTCCCAACTGGTCGCCTCACAAGTACGAGGAGAATATCAGGCGAAAAATGACAACGTCGCCGAATACTTGACACTCATCACCGAAAAACTGCAAAGTTTCGACTCCACGGGGGTTCAACACGTCCCGCGCGAGCAGAACACCCAAGTCGATATCCTCTCAAAATTGGCGAGCACCAAACAGCGAGGCGGACACAAATCAGTCATCCAAGAAGTCTTATCACAACCGAGCACCAAAGCGCCCGACGCCCCGCTCGACGTCCACGCAATAGGAGATACCAATTGTTGGATGACACTGCTACACACCTACCTCAGCGCGGGCCACCTACCAGCTGACCCTAAAGAGGCCAGCACGATCAAACGACGAGACTGCTCGTACGTCCTCCTCGAGGGAACACTATATCGCAGAGGCTTTGCAACCCCCCTCCTCAAATACATGACAACTCCCAGGCCGCAACCATCCTGGAGGAAATCCACGAGGGAATCAACGCGCAGCACCTCAGAGGTCAATCCCTGGCGAGAAAGGCCTTACGAGCAGGATACTATTGGCCCTCGATGCAAACAGACGCGAGGGAGCACGTCCAGAGATACGACAGATGCCAAAGGCACGGAGACATGCACCTTGCCCCACCGACCGAACTCAAATCCCTCTCCTCCCCGTGGCCGTTCGCCTGGTGGGGGATGGATATCCTCGGCCCCTTCACCCTAGGCTCCTATCAGAATAAGTATCTCATCGTGGGCGTCGACTACTTCACCAAATGGATTGAGGCAGAAGCCCTAGCCAAAATCACGGCCCACAACATACTCCGTTTCTACAAAAGAAGTATCCTCGCAAAATTCGGGGTCCCGCTCGCCATTGTCACTGACAACGGCACGCAGTTCACCGACAAAAACTTTCGGGACTTCGTCACCAAGCTCGGAACCAAGCACCACTTCACCTCGGTCGAACATCCTTAGACGAACGGCCAAGCCGAATCTGCGAACAGGGTAATACTCAGAGGACTAAAACGCAGACTCGGCGACGCCAAAAGGGCATGGGTCGAGGAACTCCACAGCGTCCTATGGGCATACCGAACTACGCCTCACTCAACCACGGGGGAAACACCATTCCGCCTCACGTACGGAACCGAGGCGGTGATCCCGGTCAGGATACGCGAGCCATCCAGACGAGCTAAAGCTCCCCTCGACACCGAAGACAACGACGACGCCCTAAGAGAGGAGCTCGACCTAGTCGAGGAGATTCGATCAGGAGCAGCCCTTCGGGAAGCCCGGCTGAAACAGCAGGTTGCACTCCGCCATGACAACAAAGTCCTGAAACGCGACTTCCAAATCGGCGATTTAGTCTTGCGCAGAAACCAGAAAGACTCCCACGAGGGAAAACTAGTCGCAAATTGGGAAAGTCCCTACCGTGTCCGCGACAAGATGGAGCATGGGGATTACTACCTCTAAAACCTACACGGGGAATAACTAGCTTGACCAATGAATGCCGCGAAGCTGAAGCGATACTACAGTTAAATACTGCCCGCGACGCCCAAACGTCGCGGCCACTGGGGGGTGACATGGTACCACCGCACCTCCTCGCGTCTCATAACGACCAAAGAAAAAGCAAGCCCTACCTCTTGTGTGCGCGGGCAGAAGGCCTTGCTCGACGAGGAACGCCTCGATCGAGATTCCCCGCCGCCGTACCAACACCGACAGGACACCCAGCTCGCGATGGGACGTCCACGCCACAGGGAGAACTACCCCGAACCGGTCAGGCAACAAAGCCGGCCAACCGGCCAGTTCCCCACACCGCCGGTAACAAGTATTGTCGAGCTACCACCTCGGACGGGCCCAAAAACACAAACATACAGTTCAAACACACGAACATACATTTCGAGCATAAACAACATGCAAAAACGAGGTGCACACTTAGACAATTCTCAAAAATATATATTAATCAAAAGCGGGCACCAGCCCAGTAGTCATTAGAACAGACTTCGACTACAATATGTATCCTTCGACCACAGTATGCGACCCATATTCGACTTCATGCTTGTCTCCTATCAAAATACATGAAAGTTATTCTTCGACAGAGTTAGAGTTCGACCAAAAATCTCATATCTCTGAGTGGCATCTCGGTCATCGTTGATACTATTAGTGGCATCCGTTACCATCATGGTATGGTGGTTAGCATACTTTTTAAGTGAAAGTATGGTCCATGTCAGTTTTTTCAAAACCCCGCAATGGACGTCAAATATACTTACAAATATTACGATATGTGTGACCTTACTTGCATTGAAAAAACAAAGCCTCAATATTCTGATATGTGTATAAGTGATTATCTCTCTTGTTTTCTTGTTGGTGTATATAGTTATTCCTCTTTCCTTTCGACTTTATGTCCTTTTGTCTGTTAAGTACATTGCCTTTTGTCTATTACATACGCCACTACACTATTGTTATTCATTGCTTTGTCCCTTTTTAGCCTTAGATGTGTGACTGCTATCTGAATCTGTTACATGAATCGAAGCTGAATCAACTTACTGACTCGAGAGTGAGTCGACCTTGTGGTGCGATGACCTCGCCTATCAAGCATGTTTTTGAGAGTTTGCCCATATGACTTAGAGACCATTCCATCTTACCTATTTTAATTTGTGTGCTCTATGAGGATTTCACGCATCCTAAAGCAAATTAGTCGATGTGTTCCAATGCTAGGTGGATTTGGATTATCAAAAATGTAATGGTTCATAATTTCTCAAGCACGAAATAAGGACGTTGCGATTAAAGAAGAAGTATAATATTTTACTCCTAAATCATAAACCAAGACTATCAAAGTCATAGTTCATAAATTTAATCGAGGTGAGGTTGAGATTCAATTTATATTATTTAAGTATATACCCCTATTTATAAATTGTAATTTTTTTACATTATTATTCATAATTCATAATATTCATAATTTATGACATCAAAATAAGTATTAAATAATAATAAAACGTAATAATATTAGAGATTAATTGGAATACACTTAAAACTACTTTACACAGACATCTAATTAGAATGAATTATTTGGACACATAATTATGGAATTAAAAATAAAAAAATTAAATTATAATTAAATCATTTTAATAACTACTTCTTCCATGTTTTTTTGTTCTCATGTGTCAAAATAATTCAAATAGTTTTACACTTAAAGTGTATTCTAATTAATCTCATAATATAATTTATGACATTTAATACTAAATATGTGAGGTTTAATTATTCTATGCAAAAGTATATAAAGAGACTTGGTTATTTTTAATATTAAAATTTGGTACATTTGTTGTTTCTATATGGATTTCTATAATACTATTTATTATTATTATTATTATTATTATTATTATTATTATTATTATTATTATTTAAATTCTTTTCATCTAAACTTTGTCATTTTTTGTAAAACTTATTAAATTCAATCGCCCTTTCATATTCAGGCTGATTAATTTGAAATTAACTTACGCATGAGGTTTGAAAAGGCAAATAGATTGAAATTTATCAATAAGTTCTCTTCCAAAAAAAAACACTAATTGATAATTCATGTATTTGGTCACAGTCTCACAGAATTAATGTACAAAGTGAAAACTGAGACATAAATAAATGCTCCAAAATGTAATTTTCTTTTTGCAAAGTTATGTTATGTCCCTTTAACTCCTATTTCATCTATTGAGTAAGAGGAACACATTCAAGTTCAATTTCAAGCACACCTCTTTCAACATTTTGTAGCCTCAATGATATTTCTTGTCTCACTTTTCCTTCTTCAAGTGAGATTATTCCATCTTTCACAAGTGTGTTGTCACCACTTGCTACCCATTTTCCAAGCTGCATTGACTCATTGATTGATGATTTCTCATATGCTTTTGCTGCTGATACTAGTGGTTGAATGTCTATTTCAGCCTCACCCATAAAATCATCATTTTTGAATGCATCTTTGTCATATACAATCTGCATGCAAGTAAGCATCGCATCAAATCTTATCGAAACGATGCTTTGATGTTGTATCTAGCGCCTAACTTCAAATTATGATCAATTTTTGAGGCAGAATCAATTCTACTTAAGAAAACGGTGAACAATTGAACTTACCACTCTAAGAGGAGGAATGCTCTCGGGAATCGACAACATTAGGCTTTCATTCCAAACTGGATTTAAATTGTTCTTTATGACACGCGTTTTCACCGACTGCAAGACCAGATATTATAAATATTACATATCTAATGTTAAATTTTCCTTTATCCTTTACATGCTTTTTATTAAGAAACCATGCACATTCACGCAGTTAGCACATCGGTGATTGTTTGATCAAAATCTGCATAGAAATCTTGATGGGCTGATCTCGATCCGACGACCTATGATGTGCTGACTACGTGAATGCGTGAGAATGTAGAATGTTGACAGCACACGCAAATAAATTAGTAGATGTGACATGATGAGGAAACTCACTTGATTACCGAGGGAAAGGATGACGTACGGGTCACTAGTGACTATATCTCTGATAGCTAGGTTAGTGCCTTTAACCACGTTAACTTTTATCAATCCGACAAATTCAACCATACCTGCCTATAACAGTAAATAGCAAGAAATAAGATTCAATACTTATCATGTTCACTCATTTTTCTATTAAGAATACGGTACAAAGCGGTACTCTTCACATTAACCGAGTTCAAAAGATGAATGATAGATCTAGTAGTAATGAAATGAAACATTACCAACGAGGTACTCTTCTTTGCAGTCTTGACCTCAGAATCTTTTCTTCCCCAGCTGTTTCGAAACGATAGCCCGATACGGTTTTTAGTTGTTTGTTTATCATAACGTTTTTTTTCGGGTAGAGGAATGTTGTTTGACGAACTGCTCTGACCGGACGAAGAAGTTCTTCCATGGGATGGTATAAAGGGACAAGACAAATTCTCCTCGGAATCCAAAAATTGTAGGAACTCGTATTTTCTCCTGAAAATAAAATTTTAAAAAAAATTGTAAAACACAATGGTATCATTCGTCTAGATAAACACGAATCTGTTCTGTATGCACACGTGCGCGTGCATTAGAGCGTGTTCTTATCTAGTTACCTAATAAAATCTGACCGCTCATCGATAGAAGAATTCGGTTTTGGTTTTTTTACGTAAGTCGGCAAGCAAGCTTCGTACTTCTTATTGATTACTGTATTTCCACCCAAGTTGACCAACGAATCGACTTGTTCATCTGTCCAGTCATCAAGATTCAGGGACAGAACCTATAATAATGTCAAATCATGTTAACATTTCCATTCGAGAATTTGCAAATAAATGCGTGCAAGCATTTGGATTACTTCTCCGAGTGTTTTACATAATTTGTGTTAGGAACATACCTTAGATATATGAACTCCTAGGCTTCTATGTATACCAGAGCACTTGATGCAAATAAATACTCCAAGACTTGAAGACCTGATGTTCAAATAATGTGGTAAATATAATCAAATGCGCATAACTTGAACTAATAATCTTCTGTTAAAGTATCTTTTGTTATAGAAATAGCGTATACACAAGCACGTATATGATAAGCGTTTATGATATAAGCACTTAATTATGTTGATTATCCAAATAAGGTCTAAGGAGAAAAGCTATTACACAACTTATGAAAATTGAACTGGATTCATGAAATGTAAAACTTACAAAGCAAAAAAATTTACAAGTTGTGTTAGAGTTGCATCACTACAGATAAAATTCCTTTGAAAATCAAAATGATACTTACACCCATTTTGGATCCGACGATCCACAATCGGCGCAGTACTTGTTCCCGGCTTGACGCATCAGATTGTCTAATCTTTCTTGTGGACCTAGCAAAGGGGAATGTGCACAAATAGTATAAGTTAAAAGATGAAATTACGGAAGCTATACACTGTTATTTATCTTAAAAACAGATTATTTAAAAAGGTTAAATACCAGATATCATCCATCGCTCTCTTTGACTTTGAGAATTCAAACTTGGTGTTTCGGTGCAGAAGAGATCATATAGACAAGATCCTGACCCTACAGTCGAGACATTTAACTTTTATAGTTAGACTGCCATAATATCACATAACACTATGATTTCTGAAATTGTAAGAAATCGTCACACGGATAAGACACCACCAGACACGACACTAATAGTAACACTATGATTAAATATTATCACAAATGTTGTGATGTCTGAGTCAGACACGCCTTTAACCTGAAGTGTTTGTGCTACAAAGATTCTATCATTCGAATGAGTCTATTCTTCTTATTCGAATACTTAAAAGTTCTTACCTGGTATACCGTTGATTTCAGAATTTTCTTGATGTATCTCCATCTCCATCCTCAAATACTTAAATCAAAATCAAGGAATGGCACTATAATCTGAGAACAGCCATATAATTATTCACTGTTTCTCTTCTGAAAGATAAAAAAGGATTCATCAGCATCACATATTTTATCTTCATCAATATTAAAAAATAAACACAAAAATTGCAATGAAAATTCCATAAATACAATATTGAATCAAAATTAATAAACATAAAAAAAAATGGCAAATTAGGTTTGAAAAATCTTACAGATCAGATGATATATTTCCTCAATTTGAAATTAAGCATGAGGCAATGCCAGCTTTTCTCTGCAACAACAAGAATAACAAACAAATTATCATCAAAATCAGAAAAACAAAATCATAACAAGTTAATGGGGGCTTTATAAATCATTGAAGAAACCTGCAATGAGCTAGAAAACCTAGAAATTTTCAAATCAATCTTTGAGGAAATTGGTGCATGATAACAACCCCTTGAACAATGGAGATAAAAGCCTAAAACTTTGAAATCAAAAAAAGGAATTGAAATACAGAATCATGAATTGCATAGTTTATGAGAGAATGAAAAATTGAAATTGAAGATTTTGAATTTGTTGTGATTATGATGAATGTTTAACTCACCGAGGAACATTGATGTTCAGAGAGATGTAGTTTGAACGCGCTTACATGGAAGCGTGTTAAATTTTGTACATTACAATTTGACGGTATTTTAACAACACACAGATTGATTTCATCAATTTCTCAACTATAACCTATAAATAGTATTTTTCGGTTGGTTTTTCTTTTATCTTGTCAATACAAAAATGCATAATATATATTAATTTTTTTTTAGAAAGTTTCATTAGGTTAAAATTTTGAATATTTTAAAATTATTTAGAGTGTAATTAAATTTCAATTGATTTTATTTTATAGCGGACTATTAGACGATGATGGTGTTTGGTCGAAATATTTGTCATTGGTCTTAGTGGAGGGGACCTATAAAATATATATAAATATTCTGAAACTCTAGGTCAGTGACGACAGTAAGTGAGAGATTTTTAGGTTTAATGTTGTCACTAAACCAAGTTTGTGAGCTTGGAAGGGGGTCTGACTTGCTAAAGTTAAGAATCGAGATTTTCAATTAATCAAATGTATGAGTTTGGAGAAGCATTCGGTTTGCTAAAATTGATGGTCAAGATTCTCACTCGATTAAATGTATAAGTTTGGTGGGAGGATTCAAATTACAATCTTGCATGACAAAAACTGTCCCATTATAAGTAAATATGTATTTAAATTTATTAGTCAATAAGTAGATAAATTAATCTATAATAATTAGTTAACTTTGTTATATGTAAATTAATTCTTGGTAGGGTATGTGGCTCCTTTGTCTTTGCATAAGGATCTTGAAAAAGGTTCCCCTGTCATCTTCTGCATAAAAAAACATAATAAAAAGAAGGGACTTTTATAACTTCAAATAATTATAAGTTAATTCAACCTAGCTAGATTGTTTGATGTATTTCTTTTGGTATATAAAGTTTTAATGCCCTCCTCATCAGAACCGAAAATTTAAGTGAGACAATCGATTTATACAAATTTTCCAACCTTAACTGAAGAGCTAAACGAATTATTCAACTTGACTGTTATTGGGGTTTTTCTTGTTCCCTTCTATTTTGATGTATTCTGCGCATAATAAAAGTTATGCACAGGGATGCGGATAAAATTATCTTTTAGAGTTTCAACGCTTTGAAATTTTTGTCTTTCAATTGCCTTTGATTATTTGTTTGGAGTTGAGTATATTTCATATATTGTACTGTAAAATTATTCCTTTTGGTTCACGCATATCTTCCAACAAATAAAGTATATAAGCACCTAGAGTTTTTAAAGAAAATTTGTAGTTTTCTATAGTAAAACAACGTGCAGTCGTTTATATAGTAATTTACTAATAAACAAAGTCATATGTGTACATCGTTCAAGAATTTCAAAATGAATGGTGTAAAATAATATATTAAAATTAAAATTAAGAAATTGTCAACTATCTTATTATGCAATGACTTCTTTTGAGGCTTGATTTCTTCTTCAAAGAAGGTTGGGTTAGGCTTTACATTGTTGAAGACTGGTGTCACCTTCAAAGGAGGTGATAGTATGCTTTATATTATGGAAGGATGATGTCATTTTCAAAGGAGGTCGCGGTAAATTTTGCATCGTTGAATGTTAGTGTCATCTTAAAGAAGATGTCGTAGACTTTACAATGTAGAAGGCAGGTGCCATTATCAAAGGAGGACATAATAGGTTTTATATTGTGAGATATGTTCAAAGATTTCATTATCTCGAGCAAATGTTTTCATGAAAAATGTTTTCACAAGAAAGACAACAAGATATATAGTGGTGGATGTAGAAAGTTTCTTGTGGATTGATGTGTTGGCAATATCTTGAGCGTTGTTAAATTAAGGACTTTCCCCATCGATTTTATAAAAAAACCGTTGTAATATATAACTTGCGAAAAAAATAATAAATGATAAAAAATTGAAAATAAAATGTCTTGTTTCCTTTTCAATATTTTACCATTCACCATTTTCTTGTACTGCAATTGCTTGCAACTTACAATATATTTAGGAATAAATTTCTCAATATTGTCAACCGAGGAAAACAATAAATTATGGAGTATTTTCTTTGATTGACAATATTAGAAGGTTATTCCAAAAATACAAGAAAAACATCAACACCATTATGTTGGGATGACTTGTAAGAGCAGAAAAAATGTTTTGCTCAAGATAAAATAACATTAAAGATTTTTTCTTTCTTGCAATCCATCCCAATATATGATGCTTACAAGTTTGGAGCGACTACATATAAGTTAGGTTTTGGGTAAAATCTGAGTAGTGGGTGCTTTTATAGTAAAATTATGATTATCTAATCCCTCGATTATTAAAGATAATCGAAAGAATAGATCATTAATTTAAAAATAAGAAAAGAAAAAAAAAGACACCATTTTTAAAGAAATAAAAATATAAATTGCTTTTGCTAGGATTCGAAGCATGTCCTGCATTATTTTTCTCATCGGTTATATTTGGAAACCGAGGGAATATGAGGTATTTGTTTTAAAAAATATGACGCGCCTTGGCATTATACCTCGATTTTTTGTTGGGTGAGTTGAAATTTTTGTCATGAAATGTATTATTTGTAGTAGTGACATTTGCTTCTATTGCATTTTTTTTAATCTTTTGTATAAAATTATACCACTTCAAGTGCATTTGTCCAATGGTAATTCAATAGTAGTAAATCATGCACATAATGTTCTATTTTCACCAAATATTTACATCAAAAATGTCCTATATTCACCTCATTTTACATTAAACTTAATATCAATTTCCAAATTATGTCAATCTCTATCTTGTACAATTCGATTCACTAATGATGTGTGTCATATTCAGGATTTGAAGCACTTGAAGATGGTTGGTTTGGCTTAGCAGATAAATGGATTATAGCCGCTAAAGGTGGACACAAAGCCAACATCCTTGCACAAACCAACTACTTCTAGAACTATGAACAATATTACTTCTGTTGACATTAATCCATGTAATTTTTCCATTCTTATGTCATTCTTATGGAATTTTATACTAGGTCGCCTATCTAGCCAAATAATTACTCACATGGCTCATTTGTATCCCTCTATTACATAATATAGAAAGTGTTTGTGACATATGTCCTTTTACTTGACAAAAGAAATTACCATTCACAAACAATTTTTCTTATGTTGAATCCAAATTTGAACTCTTCCATTTTTGACATATGGGGTCCTCTTTCTATTTCATCTATTCATGACCAAAAATACTTTCCAACCATTCTAGATGAATTTAGTAGGTTCAATTGGATTATCCTACTTAAATCCAAAGTTGAAGTTTCTAATCAAGTGAGATCCTTCATTGTCGTGATTGAAACTCAATTCAAAACCAAACCATAAACTGTTGGGATTAATAATGGTCCTGAACTTCTCCTCACTTCATTTTATGATTCCAAAGGAATTCAAAACCAAGTATCATGTGTAAAGACTCCGCAATAAAATGGAAGAGTGGATAGAAAACACCAACATATTCTCAATATAGGTAGGGCCCTTCTATATCACTCTAAATTACCAAAGTACTAGTGGTCTTATGCCATACAACATGCAATTTTTCTGATGAATAAAGTCCCTACACCTATACTCTAAATTAAAGCCTCATGTAGTGTCTTGAATGACAAGGAACCTAACCTACACCAATTCATATTTTTTGGTTGCATGGTGTATGCTTCCATATTATCCAACCATAGAACAAAACTAGAACCTAAAGCTAGAAAGTCAGTTTTCTTGGGATACAAGGCGGGTTTCAAAGGAAGTGTTCTCCTTGACCTTGAATTTAAAGAGATATTCATCTCAAGACATACCTCCTTTTTTGAACATATTATATCATATCCATCAACATCACACTCATCTATCATAAACAAAACGATCTACCAACCTCACATCAAACCAACAAACCCATCAACCAATACACCAACCATACATGATACACAAACCACACCTGATACATTAGTAAACCAATCACCACCTATCATTGTATCTACACCACCAACTTATAATCCTACCATACTTGATGATAATATTGACCATCACACTGATGTGAACTCTAACACTCTTTCACTTATTAATGCCAACACCTTACCTGACATTATCCAACATGCAGATGCCAATACCTTGATTCTTAAACATTCCATAAGAATAAAATGACTTCCAACTTACCTCAAATATTATATGTGCAATACATTCACTGACCAGGCTAATCAATCTTCTTTATCGGGTACTAATTATCCAATTTCTAACTATTTATCTTATTGTTCTCTATCCCTAAAATATAATCATTTCATCATGTCCATCAATACTCTTATGAACCAAATTCATTTCCTGAAGCTAGCAAGTTTGAATGTTGGAATCAAGCAATGCAAACTAAACTTATAACACTTGAAAGAACATGTACTTGGATAACTGTTGATGCACCACC